GACAAGCATTTCAATTAAGGGGACTCTCCGGGATATTACCAAAGCGTGATTGCACCCATAGAAATGAAGCAAGTGTTACTTGTTTTAGTCAGAAGCACTGGTGGCCAAAGGAGAGGGTACATGTGCTTGGGGCCTGTTTAGTGTTACTCTTGGATCCTTTGAGCTATGGGTTCTGGACTGCAAGGAGGGTTTGTGCTGCTTTGGGACAGATGAGAACTTTCTGGGCTTTCTTTTGCATTAGCTGCAGAGAAGGTTCTGTTACTATGCATAAATTCACAGACCCACCTAGAGCGGCTGCTATTGTGATGTCAGCGGTGGGCTGCCACGTCACAGCGTGGTCAGGGGGAGGTTGCCCTGGTGCACGCACAGCGTCAGCGTCCAGAGCGGCTCTTGGCGTGCTCGTTGCAGGAGGACCCTGTGTTGAGGAGTTCTCAGGCAACACTCTGTGCCCTGGAAAGGGAATCTTTTTCTTTTGCCTGCCGTTGTACGAGTCTGTGGACTCGTGTAGGCATCCTTTTGTTTTCCCCTACGGTTGTAGGGTTTGCAGACACGTACAGGTGTCTTTGCTTTTTCTTTTTTCGTTCTACGAACTGCAGCTTGTGCAGGTGTCTTTTGGTTTTTCTTTTCTTATACAGTCAGCGGATTGCTGCGTGTGCCTTTTTTTTTCTCATTTCCTTGCAAAATCTATGCAAGTAGGATTTTTCCATTTGTGTTTTCTGGCCTGCGGACTCGAGCAGCCCTGCTGAAACAATGGAACAATTCCGCAGTGCTGTCGGCAGGGCTTTTGCATCAGTATCATCCTGCAAAATGTTCAAAGGCCTGAGACGTAAGTAGAGGCTTTTTCCTTGGGGCAGCACACTGGAACAAAAGTGCCGTAAAGATGCCGTAAGTTTGGTAAAGCTCTTGCCAACAGCTTCAGCTAGAAAGGGGATGTCTCTTGGCCAGAAGGGTGTGGACAACTTCCAAAACGCAGACTGGGAGAGCTTTGTAGGCATGCTTCTAAAAACTGTGCGGTTCTCTCCAGAGCTGAGGGAAAGCAGCTTTTCTCTGCCTTCTGTCCTTAAAGAATGTGCCTGTCTAACTTGAGCCTCTCTGTGTGCTACAGTAGCGATTGGCTTTGCGCTGAAGAGGAAAGTGCTGAGCAGTCTGTGTGTGCTCCTGAAGCCCAGAGCTGGGCCTGTACTCTATCCAAATGGAAAGCTCTAAGAGGGCTTTAGGGAAGTTTTCTGGGCAATGGTTTACAGCAATTGCATGCATACTGCACAAAGTTTAAAAAATAAAAGTCCAGGGAGGAGAGGAGGAAAAGGCTGCTTTAGCTGTAGGGTGAACAGCGGGCTACAACGTAGACACGGACTGCTAAGGAACCATTTGCATTTTGCAGCCAAGTTTCTAGTTCCTTAGTGGCAAAGCCAACTCAGGTAGGCACAGCCTAGGGTAGTGCCCTGTAGCCTTGCTTGCTGTGCTAAAGAAGGGCTGCTTTAGGGAGGGAGGTTGTGAAAGGAAAATGCTTTCTGCTTGGGGGACCTTTTCCTGTGGGGTAGCCCAGCACAGACAGTTTTCCACCAGCACCTGGTTCATTTTCCCTTGTCTCCAGCAGGTTGTCTCAAACGTGGAAGGAATCAAGTCCGTGGTTTGGTGAGTGAGAAGGACACCCTTGACATTCCTGGTTTCCAAGAATTGTGGAGCAAGCTGTGGGCTTGGCCTGGTGCACTCGAGTGCCAGCCTGGCAGGCCAAAAGAAAGTCCACATCAGCGTTTGAATGAGCACTACCAAGAGGATTCCATCAGTTTCCTCCTTTTCCATTGAAGAAGTTTTTACTCATGAAAGTCAACTTTTCAGACAGGAGGCTGCCCGCCAATTGTAGCCAGGCTAAAATATCTCCCTCAGAAGCATATGCAGTCCTGGCCAAACATTAGTCTCATCAGCCCACTTGAAATGAGTTCTAGTGGCTGAGGATGCCACTTCTATCCAAATTCATGACATCTCCCTAGGACAGCTGGGGATGGAGCTCAGGAGAAACAAGGCTCTCAATGACAGCTCACTGCCTGTCCCTCACACCCCTGTCTGTCTGCAGAGCAGCACACCAGCAGCAGAACCTCCTGTGGCTCGCCCTGTGCCTCCAGAGGCTGAAGGGGAGGCAAAGGACAACAATCCCGCCCGTGTTGTCAGTCCAGGGCCTGAGCATCCTGAACCAGTAAGTGCTAGCTTTGGTTGCTCCAGTGCAAAGCTTTGGTGCAGTGCAGGGCTGCAAGTTCCTGATCAGGCAGCGCTGGCCCTTTGTGGCTGAGGATGCCACTTCTATCCAAATTCATGACATCTCCCTAGGACAGCTGGGGATGGAGCTCAGGAGAAACAAGGCTCTCAATGACAGCTCACTGCCTGTCCCTCACACCCCTGTCTGTCTGCAGAGCAGCACACCAGCAGCAGAACCTCCCGTGGCTCGCCCTGTGCCTCCAGAGGCTGATGGGGAGGCAAAGGACAACAATCCCGCCTGTGTTGTCAGTCCAGGGCCTGAGCATCCTGAACCAGTAAGTGCTAGCTTTGGTTGCTCCAGTGCAAAGCTTTGGTG